GTAAGTTCGATTCTATATGGGTTATTGTTGATAGACTTACAAAATCAGCCCATTTTCTGCATGTTAGGACTATGTATTCAGCAGAGGATTATGCAAGGATTTACATTAAGGAGATAATACGACTTCATGGTGTACCTATATCTATTATCTCAGATAGAGGTGCTCAGTTTACAGCTAATTTCTGGAGGTCCTTCCAAAAAGGATTGGGGGACTCAGGTAAGTCTTAGTACAACATTTCATCCCTAGACAGACGGCCAGGCTGAGCGTACTATTCAGACACTGGAGGATATGCTACGGGCTTGTGTGATGGACTTCAGAGGTAGCTGGGATGATCATCTTCCACTTATTGAGTTTGCATATAATAATAGTTATCATTCCAGCATTCAGATGGCTCCATACGAAGCTCTTTACGGACGAAAGTATAGGTCTCCTATAGGATGGTTCGAGATTGGGGAAACTAAGTTAGTAAGACCAAAGTTGGTACAACAGGCAGTTGAGAAGATTAAGCTTATAAGGGAAAGGCTATTAGCAACACAGAGTCTTCATAAGTCCTATGCAGATAATCTACATCGAGACTTGGAGTTTCAGGTAGATGACTGAGTATTCCTAAAGGTATCATCGATGAAAGGTGTTATGAGATTCGATAAGAAAGGAAATCTTATCCCTCGGTACATTGGACCTTATAAGATTATACGCAGAGTAGGCCAAGTAGCATATGAGTTAGACTTGCCTTCCAAATTGGAGTATGTATATCCACTCTTTCATGTGTCTATGCTCCGTAGGTATATTGGAGATCCCTCTAAATTCATTCCAGTTGACGATGTTCAGATTACAGAGCAGCTATCATATGAGAAAGCTTCTATTGCTATACTAGATAGACAAGTTCAGAGATTAAGAACTAAGGATGTAGCTTCGGTTAAAGTACTTTGGATTAACAATAATGTGGAGGATATGATTCGGGAAGCTGAAGAAGAAATGAAGACTAGGTATCCTCACTTGTTTCCACTTCCGGAGGAGGATCATACTGAGATATCACAGCCTTTAGGTACGTATGTGGTACTTAATTCTTATGTTAGTTATTGTTATTGGTCGTGTGAGGCGATTGGTGTTATTGATGATTGTGGCCCTGTGTGGATTTGTATTGTTGGATTTGGTGTGTGACAGGTTGGTAGTAGTACCATTACAGAGGAGACTTTTCCAAAGTTTCTATAGATTTCTGGGAGTTTAACATTTGAGGACGAATGTTTCTAAGGGTTGAAGATTGTTACACCATATGCGTCCGAAGGTAACATAATGAATATGAGACTTGTTAATCAGGATGTAAATGATTTTAAAGTCATAATATGGCTATATATATATGATGTTTGGATAGATCTTTCAGAAAAACCGACTAAGGATTTGCCTTGTAACAGATCTTTTTGAAAAATACATTTCGTGTGATATATGAGGTTTTTTTGGGACATATTATATAAAAAATTGAAGTTCTTGGAGTGTAGTTTCCAACTCTCTTAACCGTACATTCATACGACACCCGAATAAAAAGTTATAAGCGTTGGAAGAAGGACCAATGCTAGGATGCCAAGTAGCACCTTTTGACTTTTCAAACAAAATGGATATTTATATCCTTATCTCATTTCTTTCTTTAATTTTTCAGAACACACAACCAAATAAGACCCCTAACTTTACTCTTAAGCTCTCTACAAGAGCTTCAAAAAATATTATCATCCAGGGCACGGAATCAAGAAACGATAACATTAAAATGATCCCTACGATGTAAGTATCACTATATCACCTCTCTTTTTCTTTGTAGTTTGAGTTTTGGAAGGTACTTCATAGTTACGAAAACGTGTACTTTCTGTATTTGAGTGTTTAAATATCAAGAAAGGTTGATAAATTCGTTTCCTAATAGTTAGAACTCACGGTACGGTGATCAGAAGCCGTGAGTTCGAGTTATTCACTTGTAGCGGACTGTTTTGTGGATTGTTTTGTGTTGCTGTTGGGCTGCGTGTTTTACTACTATTTTGTGGAGTTTTAGAGGAGTAAGGTTGTGAAAAAACACCATATAAATGCAAGGTGGTGGGATGGTCATTCGTCGTAATATTTTCGGGCCGTTTGACACTACTACGGTGGTCGTTTTGTGTATGAAGAGATTGGGGTATGTTGGGCTGTTTTATAGTATTTTGCAGTATATATAAGGTTGAAAAATAATGTATACATGTAGATATTGTTATGTTTGGTGTTGTCTTAAATTTGAAGGAAGTACGGATTATAAGGGAGATGTTGCCCGTTTTAATACAAAATAAGCTTGTCGTTCGTTGTGCGATAGCTGTACATTTCTTAATTTAATGATAGTATTATTATTGTTATTGTAGATTAAGGTACGAAGTGGTGAGTTCAACTTGGTGATTGGAAATATTGTTATAAGGTATGTTAAGGCTATCCCTCATTTTCTTTTGGCTTGATCCGTACGATACAAACGAAACGAGTAAATGCACAACTTTCATAAATGATTCTATTCATAGAAGTATTAGAGATGCCTACGTTCTTGATTCCCCATGTGAATTATTATTATATCTTCTGTTCATGGGTCTCAGAAAAATACGTAGTTGATAAAGTTTATTTGAAAGGTATATTGATCTTATTAACGTATTTTTATGCATTTTATTCATTTATATATGTACATTGATCCATTACCATATGGCGTTATATACGCGTATATTATATGTATATGGGATACCGAAAAAGGTTACGGTGTTATATACGTACCACCACCTGATCAGCTGGTATACGTTGTTGATTTCGCCCACAGTGGATGAGATGAGATGATGGGATGCCCTCAGAGGCTTGATGATGTTATGTACGCATATACTTATGCATGGTATGTCATTTATACGAACATGCATGACATTATAAATATTTTCGTGATTCATAGAGCTATTCAGACTTACAGGTTGAGTTCCTTACTCCATGTTTCTTTCATGCCTTACATACTCTGTACTTTATTTGTACTGACGTCCCTTTTGCCTGGGGACGCTGCGTTTCATGCCTGCAGGTCCCGATAGACAGGTTGAGAGTTCTCCTAGTAGGCTATCAACTCAGCAGAAGGTGTTTATGCACTCCAATTACTCCGGAGTTGCCTATTTGGTCAGTATAATTTGAATATGTATTGATTTGTATGATGGGGCCATGTCCTGACCTTTATGACATTTATGTACTCTTAGAGGCTTGTAGACAGATGATATATATATGGATACTTGTATGGCCTTATCGGCCTATGTCTTGAGTATACAAATAATTATGTCGGCCTTATAGGCTCGTATGTCACATGTATAAGTTTCTATATCATGTTGGGTCGTCCTATGTCCTAGTTATCTCATGATGGCCTTTCCGGTTCATTTACCCATGATACTATGATAAGAATGATATGTTACGTTGGTACTCGATTGAGTTAGGCATCGGGTGCCCATCGCGGCCCTATGGTTTGGATCGTGACACATATATAAATATATGGTCCCATTAATATTATAAATTAATAATTCTTTAAAATTACAAAAATATCTAAGATAATTTAGTGAAATATGATTCGTATTTTTTATTTTTTCTTAAAATTTAAATCTAATTGAAGCTTATCTCTAACTTTTCTTATTGCATCCAAAAGTTTAGATGTTGTCTTCTCGAACTGCACCAAAAAATTATGAAGAGTTCTAGATGCATTAAATGCTTCCTTACGCGTAACTGGTTCCAAAGATATTGTATCATCTTCAACTTCATCATCAACATTATTTTTTCTGATGGTATCCACAATTTCTTCTAAGCTCTAGACCTCTGAACGTGTATCATTTTTAACCGGGTAATCCAACATGCTATTGATATCCATTTTATTGCGGTAACCGAAATCATTAATCATGAACTCAAGTTCATGAATGTCGTTTTCGCAAGTGGGTTCATCTAAATTCCTTGAATCTCGAAAATACTCTTTAAATTAATAAACATCAATTTATCGATTAAGTAATACCTCTACAAAATACTAATATTTCATGGTTTCGACAATATTAATTTAGAGAGGTTCTACCGTATGCTGGAAGTTCATACGAATGAGCTGCATAATCCAGCATATTATGCTAGAACTTTTCGTACTTCAACTAGGGTATTTTTGTTTAGATTTTATCTCCGCATAAAATAATAGCTATTTTTCATTAACTTTATAAACGCCAGCTATTTTTGATTACCAGTCGAAAACTGGTTAGCCCATGCTATTATTTTCACAACTTTCTCAATATTGATCCATACATAAAAGGAAAATTTTCATAATTACATATAAAAATCATAAAATATTCCATAATCTACAACTTTTAAATAAATAACATATTCTACAATATAACCATAAATAAAGAAGTTATCTTTCAAATACGGTACCTACCCGGTAAAAAAGGAAATTGATTATGAGCCAGCCACACTTAATTATCCCTAAAAATCCTTCATTCGGTTAAATGTAGATTATCAAACGAGCATCCTTCCTTGACAGCGATAGGTACTCCATTTTGGTATATTTTCATTCTTTCACATTTCTTCTCTATCTTGGGATATTTTTTTCCAGCAAAATCAGATCTATGATTCTGTTCCATTGGGACTATTCTTGTAAAAAAAAAAAAAAAAAAAGGGCAACATAATGTGTAATACTTTTTTGTAGGTTAAAAGAAAAATGTAACATTTGGATCATATACAATATCAAATAAACTGCTATAGACCAAAAACTTAATCGACTTATTCCATTGCTTTTTGTGTAATCTAATAAATAATAGTTAATATACCATACAGATCAATTCCTATATATATATATATATATATATATATATATATATAATATTATTGAGAGAATCTCAAGAGATATATATTAGGAATATGAAAAGTTGTATGTTTTAAATTAAGTTGTATAATATGTAATTTTGTAAAAGCAATTGTAACTTATTTAAATAGGTTTTAAATAAGTTGTATTTTATGTAAATTCCTCTACGTAAAAGCCCACGTTTCAGCCCAATAAAGTTCATAGCTTCTCACTCCCAGATGTTGGAACACACAAAATCTTCTTTTCGCGACGAATCTTTCTGAATTCCTAAACCGCTGCTGCTCTACTCCCACTCTTCTGAGAATCAGTAAGCTTCAATACCCACCTCTAATTTTTTTTTTTGAGATCTTGAAAATATCAAGGAAATGCCAAATGTTGAGCATTTTAATGGTCCTTTTCTTTTATCTCATCGGAAATCCCCTCTTACAGTTTACTCTGATAGAACTTTGGCTAGATTTTGTGATTATTTTTAAAAATGATATGTTTTAGTGGAAAATAATTTGTTTTCTTTTGTTTGGTTAGAATTTATTGGGTTGGGGTTTTTTTTTTTTTTGGAGGGGGGGAGGTAACTATTGCATCATCTGGTTGGCAAATGGCAGTATTAAACTCCACTTAAATACAAACTTTTGGTTTGGTCTATTTAATTCTTATTGCTAATAACTAAATAAGCTATGAGAGAATTTATGTACTATTTTATGCCAGATAGAATGTTCAATAAGAATACATGTAGCAGCTATGTAGTCGTGTGTATCCTCCAAAAGTAGTATATTTCTGAAGGAACCGACAAATGCGATATCATTTTGAAGAGTTTGCGCAACATAGTATAACAATACATTAATAGTGCTTGAATCCTTACATAAGAATCCTAATCATAGACTGCTTTTGTTTATCTTGTCTTGATAAATGAAAGAAACTCGTTCTTATTCCATACGGTCAATTATTACTCACCGCATAATAATCCCTACATTATTTTACTCCACATTATTATTCATTTTTTAAAAAAATCTCTGCTTTATAATCCCTCCATAACTAATCGTTGAATCAGACAACCCCTTAAGGCAACTGTTGAAGTGTGACCATCTAAAAACTTAAGTTGTTAGAGAGAACATACTTTTATTTACGTAATTATGTCTTCAACATGCCCTCTCACGCGCGGGCTTGATTCTTTTTTATAAGCCAAGTACGTGGAACTTCTTTTTGATATTGAATGGCGGTGAGACTCGAACCCAGGACATCTGTCTGCTCTGATACCATGTTAAAGTGTGTGACCATCTCATCTAAAAGCTTAAGCTATTAGAGAAAAGACATTTTTATTTACTTAATTATGTTTCAACAGCAACCATTCAGGTCTTAGAGCTGCTTCATTCTTCTACAGTTGATAGAAAAATGGCGATCCTCAAAAATCTTAAATTCTGAGTATCAATGTCAAAGAACTCATAAGTTCAAATGAGAAAGAAAAAGAAAACTTCACCAATCTTTAGTTGGAAAGAGAAATGCATGAGTTGTTGCTCCTGTTTGGATAGGTGAACTATGAACGAAATTAAAACAAAATGCGATGGAAGAGTTTTTGAAGCATAAAGTTGTATTTGGTAAATTTGATACTTCCTTGTGGAAAAAATTCAAGGTCAATTGTTAAAGGGAAAAGCAAAATCTGCACTTGTTTTCTTTCTCCTTTGGGCTTGAAGTAGTGGTGGTGGGGTGGGAGATTTTAATTTTTTTCATGAACTAGGCATTTGCTCATAAATTAGTTATTCATATGATGTTAGAATGGCATCACAAGGATCATTAGAGACGACAGAGGAATTTCCAACTAGGATCAATTACCGTCCAAATAGCAAGCCTCAGATTGTAATTGAACGCTACATGCCTGAACTGGAAGCTTATATGCAAAGAGATGCTGAACCAATTGATTTAAATGTGATGCGAGATATCAATGATCGATTGACAACTATGCTAGAAGATGTGAGATTGATGAAGAAACGACTCACTCGTATCATGATTTTGCAGTTGCTATGTCTCTTCGTTGCATTTTCAGGTCTTTTTCTGAAGTTGATCCGAAAGTAAGTTGTTTTTACCATATTAGCCATTTGATAGGAGGCTGATCCGAAAGTAAGTAGTGTTGTATCTGGCTTTCAGTGTTAATAGTTCTTTGGATGTTTTTGCTTTGAGTAGGTACTGCGTATGGCTTGTTTGCCCTCATCGTCGTGTATGTTGTACACAAGTTCTTGCAAACAAGTTTTTGGCCTTTTCTTTGACAAGTGCAAACAAGTTTTTTTTCTTACTCCATCAGGGTAGGGGTAAGTTCTGAGTCTGCGGATACACTACCCTTTCCGCTTGTGGGATTATACTGGGTTGTTGTTGTAAACAAGTTTTTGGCCTTGTTCATTGAAAAGAGAAGATGGTAGTTTTTTATGTTTCGGTCTTTCTTTTTACCTTCTTTTAGATTTAGGAGCCAAGCCAGGGTTTAAACTTGTTTATAAGATGAAGTAGCCAAGACACTGAAGTATCTCAACCTACCGCGAACGACTGTAGATTCTGAACCAAATTCATGTCCGGAGGACTTCTGAGTGGAAATAATATAACTGTTCATAAACGGTCTCATGTTGCGTTTTCATTACATTATTTTTACCGAATAAAGGTTCATATCGACCTTATACTAGAATTCTTCTTCTCTTATGAAATTTCTAGTTAGATTTACATTTGTTGCAAGACGGAATCAACGGTTTACATAGTTATGTAAATTTTTAGTTAGATTTACATAGTTAATCACTGCACAAAAGATGACTTCAAAGGTCACAATCAACGATTCTAGGTGATCAGTGATAATATTAGTTAGTCAAGGAATGAACTTATGCAAAGGTGAACAATTTGAAGAGATATATTAAGTACAAATGTGAGTGATGTTGATGTATAAAGTTGTAAAATGTGACATATATAGTCCAAAAAAAAACCAATACTTGTTGAGGACAATAAATTCAACCACTGTAGGGCCTTTTATTACTTGTCAATTATATTTAGAATCAGACAGAGGCGGAGTTAGGATTTCAAGCTTATGAATTCGGGATTTTAATCGCCTAAAGTTACTGGGTTCTAAATTAATAATTTATACATATTCAATGTTTTTTTAAGACAAATACATGGTTCGAACCAAAACTACTGGGTTCGGTTGAACCCACTCTCGACACTCTAGCTCCGAACCGAATTAGCATACTTCTTCTCGAATTTCACCAAAAAATCAAAAGCCTTGCACTGTACATTATGACTCCAATTAGTCGTCAGGTTTTCAATCTTCTCAAGTACCCCAGGCATTTCAATCCGCTGAGCACAATCTTTCTCTGAGCTGCAGCTTTCCCAGTCCCACTCTGCAGACCATGCTAGGCTGCATTGCCATACGTTCGTATAGTACCCGTTCCCTAATGTCCTGAACAAAAGGTCACCTTAGGATGTTGTTATGACGCTTTGGTCACAAAGGGTGTTGTTACTAGTTCAGCGCTACTTCCGTTTACATCCATCAACTCTTCAAGATAGTAGGCAGATGCGTCAAAGGCTCCTGATTGGTCATGTTAACTGCAAAAACACCAACCAGAACATCAATCCTTCTATGATGAACTCATGATAAGAAAGCTATGACAAATATTACAACATCCGCTTAACTCACTTGACAAAAAGATCTGACGCACACTGATTCTTCCAGGGAGAAAAAATAGAGGAAAGGGGACGAAGAACATAATTAATAGTGGCAATAAGCTCATACATATACTCAGAGGCGGATTTAGGATTTCTAGTACATGGGTGCACTAATAAAAAAAAAGGAGGAAAAATGTATTAAGTCAGCCCCTGCATATACTTGAATACAATTGTTGTTAAGACAATAGATTTTAGAGGTGAGATTAGGGATAACGAAATCTTGATGCGATCTGAGTGAGCCGTACTTAATGCCAGCTAGCGTAAATCGGGAGAATATATCTAGTAAATTGTGGTAATTACTCGGGAGAGAGTTATGACACTCAGAGCACTCATGATCGGTAGAGAAGACTTAGGCGAATTTATAAAAAAAATAGCGGAAAAGATTCCGACAATAGGGGAAATCACAACCTTAGATCTTTCCAATTTTTGCAGGTAAAAAAAGTGCTAGAATTCTTAGTGTAGTCAATTTTCTTCATTCTAAATCAAATACATTGAAATTCTAATGTTTGTAGTCTTGGGTGTTACAGGTGCATGCCTAGGAACTCCTCAAGAACTGGTGAACTGCTCGAAGCGGTTATCAGATCCTGAGAAAGTTTTCAAGGCACTAAATCGTGCAAACAAGAAAAGCAAACAACAACAAAACTTGACAGAACAAATCGAACCAGACATGGATGACGGAATAGAAAATCTAATCAACAACAGAAACAATGTGAATGAACCAAACAATCAGGGTGTGGTGCCTCTTGTACCAGAAGCAGTATTATATGATTGGGCACAACCCACCACCGACAATCTGGCAACCGCAATTGTAGTCCCTCAAATACAAGAGGAATCATTTCAAATCACAAACAACATGCTACATTTGTTGCAGAACAAGGGACTGTTCTCAGGGTCACACATTGAAGATCCTTAGCAGCATCTGAAGAATTTCATGTCGATATGTGTCACGCAAAGGCAACCTAACATGACATCGGACGCAATAAAGCTATTATTGTTCCTATTCTCGGTGACAGGAGAAGCTCAGACTTGGCTTAATTCACTCCCCATAAACTCCATCACTACCTGGGAAGAATTAGTCAAGCAATTTTCGAACAAATTCTACCCACCCAATAAAACTGTCCAACAGATTGATGATATATTGAGCTACAGGCAGAGACCAACAGAATCACTACAAGAAACGTGGGATAGGTTCAAGGGTATGCTGGTTAAGTGTCCACATCATGGCATTCCAGATCAGATGTTGGGGCAGAGATTCTACATGGGACTGGCTGACAGCTTAAAGGCCAACGTTGATGCTTCAGCAGGTGGAGCATTTTTGAGTAAAACATTCGGAAAATGCAAGATCCTACTTGATAAGATGGCCCAAAACTCAGGATGGATGACAAGAGCCTCTACGATCACTCCGGTAGTTCACTCAGTGGCTTTGGACCCAAACAACTCCATAGCTGAGAATATGGCCACTCTAATGACACAAATGAGTATCCTCACCAAGAAGATTGATGAATCAGGCCAGAAGCAGCAGGTTCACATAGTTGACGCAACTAATGGGAGCTTATGTACACCATGCATTAATCAACCATATGTTTGCTCGTGGAGTGCGAAAGGTGACAACCAGCACTATCAGGAAGATATGAATTATGTAGCCAACTATGGGGGATAGAGGCAAGGTGGTGAGAATTGGGGTCAACAGAATCAACAATATAGACCAGCGCAGCAGCAGTACAATAACAACAACAATCCTGGAGCTATGCGACCACTGGGTCAAGTTGAGCCTTACCAAAGGCAACAGGGTTACAACCAGCAAAACCAGCAGCTGACTTATCAAGAACCTCAACAACAACAAATTATGAGACAAGATGATGGTTTCACTAACTTAAGGGAATGCTGCAACAACTGATTGGGTCCACGGGAAAATGCAACAGAGAGTAGACTCACATGAATCAGCGATAAAGGGTATTGAGATTCAATTAGGACAGATTTCTATGGCTCTAAACAATCGTCCCCAAGGGACGTTACCTGCAGACACACAAGTCAATCCAAAAGAACAGGTCCCGAAACAGCTTATGGCAGTGAGTCTACGAAATGGTAGAGACCTAGAACAAGAGATGGCTCGTGAAAGCCGACCTACCGAAACACTTGTGCCAATACCCATTGAGATAGATGATTCAACAGGGTTGACAGAGGTGACGGTACAACATGCACAAGAGAGCACAAGCAAAGAAAAAGAGGTTACGAAAGAAACTGAGGTAGCACAAGAAACGTCAGTAGAAGCAGTGCCTGAGCAGGTTCAAAATCAAATCGCAGGAAAGAAACGGCCTCCAGCACCTTTCCCCCAGAGATTGGCCAAATATCAAAAAGATAAGCAGTATAAGAAATTCTTGGAGATGTTGAAACAAATTCAGGTTAACATTCCATTGATTGACGCCTTAAAAGAAATGCCTGGTTATGCAAAAATGATAAAGGACTTGATGTCTTGTAAGTTCGACTTTCAAGACTTGGCCACAGTTACACTGACTTAGACATGTAGTGCTGTTGTGACGTGACCCATAACTGAGAAGTTATCTGATCCAGGGAGTTTCACAATCGGCAACTATGCGTTTACTAAGGCACTTTGTGATTTGGGGGCAAGCATAAACTTGATGCCCTTGGCTATCTATAAAAGGTTAGGCATTGGAAGAGCTAGACCCACGTCCATGTTACTACAACTGGCCGACATGACAGTGAAGAGGCCCTCTGGTATCCTTGTTGATGTATTAGTACAGGTTGGGAAATTTGTGTTCCCAGCAGATTTTGTCATTCTAGACTGGGTTCACGAGGAGATTCTCATAATTTTGGGAAGACCATTCTTGGCCACTAGGAGAGCTTTAATCGACTGTGAGACTGGAGAGCTCAAAATAAGACTAAATGGTGAAGAAATAACATTCAACGTGCAGAAATCTATGCGGCGACCAAGTGAATTTGCTAACTGCTCTCTAATAGAAGCCGTGGATGTAATTTTAGAGAAGGAAGATGAAACCTTGAACGCTAAAGACCCTCTAGCAGCTTGTCTCATGAACTTAGATAAAGTAAATGGAGAGGATTTGGCGGAATGGGTACGGCCAAGGGTTTTGGAAAAGAGAGCTCGAATTTGAGCCTTTGCACTTAGAAGAAAGAAAAATTCCTCCAGCTAAGCTATCGATAGAAGAGCCACCAAAGTTGGAGCTAAAGCCGCTACCACCTCACCTCAGGTATGCTTTCTTGGGACCTAGCTCAACTTTACCTGTTATTATCTTATCTGGTTTGTTAGATGTGCAGAAAGAATAACTTTTGCAGGTATTGAGTGAGTGCAAAACTGCAATTGGTTGGACCATCGCAGATATTAAGGGTATCATCCCGGCCTTTTGTATGCACAAGATTCTACTGGAAGATGGCCACAAACCTTCCAGAGAACATCAAAGAAGGTTGAACCCCAACATGAAGGAAGTTGTGAAAAGGGAGGTGATAAAGTTGTTAGATGCGGGAATCATCTTCCCCATCTCCGACAGCAACTGGATCAGCCCAGTCCAACGTGTGCCTAAGAAAGGTGGGATGACTGTAGTGCAAAACGAGAACAATGAGTTGATATCAACAAGAACAGTCATGGGATGGCGAATTTGTATGGACTACAGAAGATTGAACAAAGCCACCCGAAAAGACCATTTTCCCTTGTCGTTCATTGATTAAATGCTAAATAGATTGGAAGGGAA